TATGACCCTTGATTGTACGAAAATTCGCATTGTGAGCTTGTGGTCCCTATAGAGGTCACAAGTTTTACGCGATTTAAAAAAAACGTGTGAATATATCACAGTTATAGACTAATGATGGATAAAAATTGTACGCAAATAGTGTAAAAAAATATGGTATATCAAGGTTGTGGACCCTCTAGTGGTCACAGTTTTTATCCGATTTGGATGAAACTTTAAATATATGTTTTTACCATAAAGATCTTGGTTCTTTTTAAAATATCCGAACGTAACTTCCTGGATTATGGCCCCTGATTGGTCGGAAAATCTCATTTTTAGCCTTTGGATTCTCTAGAGGTTGCAATTTTTTTTCCGATTTTAAAAACCATTTAGATATATCACCATTCCACCATAATGAAGGTTAATTGAATTCGAATTTCGGGAAAATCGAAATGAAACTGCCCGACAAAATGGCCACTTTCTGTACGCAAATTGTGTATAAGTATGTAATACAAAGGTTACGGACCCTCTGGAGGTCACAATTTTCATCCAATTTTGATGAAACTTAAAACATATTTTTATATTCTAAAAATCTCAGTCCCTTTTGATATTTACGCATTTCAGACCATAACTTTCTGGATTATGGCCCCTGATTGTACAAAAAATTGTTTTTGTTTTCAGCTTGTTCTCTATCCATCTCTTGCAAAATGTGGGCCTATCCTGCCTGGCAACTGCTGGTAATATCATCTATTGCCGCACACTGATCACTAGGTCACTGCAATCAGTGGGAGGGATGACATTGGTGCGGGTTAATTAGGTCACAATATTAACCTTTTTCCTACTTCAAATTAAATTCTAGAACATTTTTTGAAGTATTATAAATATAAATAAAGCTGTTTGAAGGGTCTCCGTATAAAAAAAATAATTCCTATTTAGTTTAAATGGGTATATAAAATGAGAAAAAGACACCCTTCTGTCCCTACCAGTAATGTAATGTGACGTCACATGTAGAAGGCATGTGAACTTAAAAAAAGGTTAGTCATCTTATATAGAGTATGAAGAAGGCTTTCCCTATGCCTCCGTGAAACAGATTGATATTTCCCTAATCTTACGTGATTTTTGTTCATGTAAATGCTAAATTCGTATTTCTAACTTTTAATTTCTAATTTTGATCTTGGTCGTTGATCAATAAATTGCATACGGTTTTTTTTAAATTTATTTTTAAAAAGACCTTTCAAAATTTCCCAAAATTTCTCAAATTTTCGCTTTATAATTCTAAAGTTAAAAATAAGAATTGAGCATTTATATGACTAAAATTTGGAAGTTAGAATTTGGAATTATGGCAGGCTTTTCGATCCATATTTCATTACGTTGAAATAAGTGAATGTGGGGGTTATTTTTGTTTGTTTTTTACATGCCTGTAAATATGCTTACAAGATTTAAAGATTTCTGTTTAGGGATTGAAAAATTAAATAAAATCGGTTTAACGTCCTATTTTTCTGATAATGAGGGAAATTTTTTCCCTGCCATGGGGGTTCCCACTTCTTCTTCGTTGACTTCCACATTCCAAGGGTTCTGTTACCTGCACGTCGACGAGTACACGAGTGGGCCTCGGCTTTTTGTCCCATCCGACCCAGGAACTCCGGGTTACTGAACCTCCACAGCTTTAGGGACTGGGGGACCGGCCCTTTGTTTAATTACAAGAAATAGTATCAGTAGTGTGTGAAATGAAATGGGGTTTAACGTCCTACTGTTCTTCTCAGACTGGACTAATGAAGACGGGCATACGCCATACAGTATGCACGGGCAACGGCGCTACGGCCTACTCATATTGTATTCCAACTGCCAAAGGATCTTTTACATGCATTCCAGTTTGTGAGACCTCGGTTTTTCGCTCTATCCGAACGACTATAATTATGTTGTCTCTTGCCAGGCCCTCTGTAAAAGAAACCTTGGCAATTGGAATTCGAAGAAAAGTAAGCGGTAAAGCCGCAGTCCGGGAAAAATGTTCCTCCCAGCACAATGTATGACGTATGTCCGCCTTCATTAGCTTGGTTGGTGCAGAAAAGCAGGACGTGACCCCCATTTCATTTCATTTCATAATCACGTCGTCTAATACCTCGACCACATCGGCGTGTATACTGTTATATTGTAAAAATATATAAGGTATAGGTCCTAATTATATTTTGCGCTATGCATGATCAAAGATGCATTTTGTAAGATTTCGATAAATAGCTGACATGACAGTTCTCGCTATAATAGTTAACAAATAGATAATGAAAAGGGGATAAATTGAACATCTCAGTCAAATTACTTCATTTTGAGCGAATTTATGGCTTTTTGAAAATTAAGGTAGTCTCGATCGTCATTGCTAACGTTATTACGATAATAAGCAAAGTCACGATTATCAATTTTTTAATTAAATTATTAACCGGCAATTATTGAAAATCCCAACCAACCATCTAGAGAGTTGATAATTGGCTTGGGATGTGAATAAATGACTAATTAATGATACCATTTGAGGTCAAACAAAAGATCTGCAATAGACAGAATTAGCTCTTACATAATGCATCTTTAACGAGGTTGGACAGGGGACCCTACTTCTTGTTGACTCAATGACAGACTTTATGATGCAACGCGCACGCGCTAACCATTCGGCCATCTACCCCCCCCCCTCTTGGACCGATCCCGTTTCTTGGTTATGCCCAAGAGGGTAAATTCGATCTAATTCCTAGCCACATAAGTAAAATCGATAAAACTGTCCTCTTTTTCAAACAAATTTGAATAGCTATTTTAATTTACATCGAAATTCTTTTCTAATTTAAAAAATATGTTTATGTAAATATAAACTTAGGCCTACCTTTACGGCTTGAGTCAACAAAATGGTGTATTAAAAAGTACTGCTATGCTAGTTTATTCGACTACTTTCCGCAATGAGGAACTAAATTTGAAAACACACGCAAACATTACAAAACCAAAGGATAGGTTGCAACGAAACATAAGCCCACATTAGCTAAGTCGTCTGGGGATTCAACAAGGGTTGTCGCATATATCTTCTTTTGACAGAGATGTAAACATTTACAACACACTAAAATCTGCCCTATTCTAACATTTAGCATACAAAACATTTAATATCAATTGCCATAATAATCGAAAATCCTTGAAAATCGCTAGGCTTTTTCGTCTTCCTGACCTTAAACACTGTATAAATTTAAAGCCAATCGGATATTAACTTTAGCCTCTAGAGCGTCCACAAGATATTTCAAAGTGATCATGGGCCATAACTATGGCAGTAATTATCGGAAATCATTGAAAATCAATAGGCTTCCTCGTCTCATGACCTTAAACACTGTGTAAATCGTTGAAAATCAACAGGATTCTTCGAATATTAACGTTAGCCTCTAAAGAGTCCACAAGATTTTCAAAGTGATCAAGGGTCATAACTCTGGCAGCAATTACCGGAAATCATTGGAAATCAATAGGTTTCTTCTGCCAAGATCTTAAACAGTGTGTATAAATTTAAAGTCAATCATATATTAACTTTAGCGTGCACAAGGTATTTCAAAGTGATCATGGGGAGTAATTATCAGAAATCTTTGGCAATCAATAGGCTTCTTCGTCTCATGACCGTCAGCACTGTGTATAAATTTAAAGTGAATGTTTACATTAATATTGTCATTGCCAAGGAATCATTCCCGATACTCGTCTAATACGCATGTGGTTGATTATTTAATTGCTATCTCTTCGTTCGCCATTTTCAGGTCAACCACATCCATAAGTTAATTTTCATTGTATATTACACTTTTGCACAACACTTACAAATGGGGGGGGGGGGTATCCGAATGGTTAGCACGTGTGTGCTGTATCATAAGGCCTGTCATTGAGTCAACTGGCGTGGTTTCGAATCCCCGGTTGTACGTGACAAGGATTAGGGTAGCCTGTCCAACCTCGTGGGTTTTCTTCGGGTCCTCCGGTTTCCTCCCACTGCTAAAGACGACTACGCGCAAGCGAATTATTGAAATAAAATTAAACCATATGTTAGTCCAAAAATGACCTTGTTTGTGTCGAGTGGACTTTAAACCCCATTTCTCTCTCTCTCTCATACAAATGCATTGAAAATAACATGTCAACAGATATATTGACACTGATCTTCTGAAATCGATCCTGATAGAGATATGTCGCCTTTCTTTAGAAGTTTCAAGTGAAAAGAAAGGATAGTATACGTATACGTATTACATGATTAAAAGGCACATATGGCTCGATTATTCGGAATCTTAAATGAGTCTAAAAGTGAATATTAATGTAATATTTTTTCTTTGTTGATCACAAATGGCACCCGAAACCACATAGTATACGACTCGTGTAGGAGCTACTGATTTTAAAATGTTCATTGGGTCTTAAATATTGGAACAGGTCACTTCTTTGGCTAATCCCTCACACCAACCAGAACGTGGGTTATATAACAACTCTTCCAGCTCCTAGTGTAGTAAAGACAAATAAAGCGAAATTTTGAACTATAAAAAGCGAAACGAAATAGGATCTGTGTTTTAATCAGATTTCTATAACAATGACTAAATGCAATAACCCCGAAAGTACATTGTCAATCTTAACAGTGTCGAAAACTGGGGTGCTATTTACGAAAATATTAACAAATTTTTTTAAAAAATGCAACCTTTTCATTGGCCAATGAACCGTCAGTATTCATAAAATATTTCAGTTAAGTTGTCATGAATAGGGCCCAAGTGGATTACAAAGTCAATAAAGGAGGGACTGTAAGGAGATATCTTCCACAATGTCAAATCTAATCTAGATATTGCGTTACAGATTTCATTAAAACTGTTTACCATTTTCCAATAGTTATAAAACATCGATTTGATGTATATTTTGAGTGATTTTAGAGGATCAGGATTCATCTCTGTATGTGTTTACAAATGGAATCAGCAGCCAATGATACAATTTGTGGGAGGGCAGGGGTGACGACTCTAAAATGATGGCGTATATATAATAAAAACAATTATTTAAAGTTCAGTAAATTCAACTATTTAATTATTCATAACAAATAAATACACGTGCTTACAATCAAACTCAATTCATTCAGTGCTAAGCAACGAAACATGACATTGAAATCAATTCCATACAGATCGTGAGACTATTAGTGTAAAGTTACGCCTCATGACGTAGTTTATTTTGGAAATGAAAATAAATTCTGATGTGTTAAATATAGCCATCAAATATATCTACGGGCTATTCACTTCCCAAGTACTTTCAAAGGGTTGGGGTTAGCGTTAGCCCTGTTTACATTTCGTGACCTATGTCTAAAAATTGAGCTGGCCTTCTCATTTAGCACTAACCTCCTGAGTGTCAAGTTAGTCAAGGGGGATAAATCTAAATAACCAGGCTACCTGTAGTTAACAATCTGTTGTAACTAAAACTACATACATGTACCTGACCAATTTAAAATATATGTATTCCATTTCCAACTACTTTCAAAGCCAATTTATTTATAAGGGGCGAGTTTGTTTGTAGACGCCATTCATTAGAAGGTCGACTTTGTTTGTGGATGCCAATTTGTAAGGGGTTACTTTGTCATGGTTATGAAATTTTAGTATAATGAATAGGAAGTAATATTTCTAATACAAACATAATCCATGTGGCCGAGACCAATTTAAATAAGTTGATATTTAATTTATAATATTCTTTGGTAATAACGACTTTTCTTCTCTTACTCAGTTATCAATAACAATATCAAAATACAACAAACCAAGACCTTAAACTTAAAGCAGTCAATCATCATTTGAAAGATTTTCAATTCCTTACAAACTACAATATTACCATGGTTCAATGCCATTCAGTATTTACAAAAATATGATGAATGGAAAATTTCCCAACATTCTGCATCTGCCAATGCCATCTATGAGTATTGGGTACTCATATTAAATAGCCTCTTTTTAATCAAAAGGAATCCAAGCCCGGGAGATTATCCACGGTTCATTTATGGTTTTGTTTTCTTAATTAAATATTAAATGTTAAATAATCAATTTGTTAATATTTTACCTTGTTTAAAGATACATTATCATTGACGTGTTCTGGATGTTGTTAGGTACATGTATTAGCCAATGAAACGGTCTGTTACGGCAAGCATTAGGCGTGTTTTGCACGGAACTGTGGGTAATCCATTAGAAACATCAATGCCGATTGGTTAATCAAATATCTGATGTCATAGGGTAAAAAAAGCGCTCGTATGACCTCTGACGCGACCTACATGTCTCGCTACAACATGTCAGATCTTCATGTACATGTAGTGTAAGCCATCGAAAGTATAAAAAAACGAAACGAAATATAGATCTGTATTTTAATCAGATTGAGCAGCTTTGAACAGCAGTAACTAACGAGGAGAAAACCAAATGTTCAGTCAGAAATTAATTAATGTAAATTAACAAAGTTGATTTAGGAACAAATTCAAGCAGTTTTGCTTTTTAACAAAATATAAGAACTTCTTAAAATTTATTTCAAGTGTGTCTTTTGGTGTTGATACAAGTTGCTACGCATAACAAATCCTTTTGAACACACAGAGCATATGTGGGGTTTTTCGCCAGTATGTCTCATCTGATGATGTTTATAGTCCCTTTTGTCACTATAAGATTTTCCACAGCCTGGCACATCACATTTGTAGGGTTTGTTACCAGTGTGGTTCATCATGTGCATTGTCAATTTAGAACGCGAAGTGTAACCTCTTTCACATTCCATACATTGGAAAGGTTTTTGTTCTGCATGTACCAGAAGATGATTCCTAAGATATCCCTCAGCCCTGAACGATTTGTTGCATTTTAGACATTTAAAGGGAAGCTCACCCGTATGAATACGAACATGGATATCTAAATCACGTTTCCTTACAAATTTGCTTCCACATTCATCACATGAGAAAGGTTTATCTCCAGAATGTATCATGGCGTGATCGCGAAGATGGGTGCTATCGAGGAACCTACGATCACAGTGTGCGCACTTAAATCGCTTGGGTTTTACCCCAGTGTGATGACTCATGTGATTTGAAAGCTTGGTCGGATGTGTAAACATCTTGTTACAGATTTTACACTGGTTACATGAATTACCGGCGTGTGTTAGACCATGCTTGATCAAATTTCTGTTCGTATTAAATGTTTCATCACAATCATAACACTTATAGACTTCTTTTCCTGGATGAACAAATGCACAATGATCCTCTATTGCATAATGATATTTGAAAGCATCTGGACAGTGGAGACACTCAAACATTACAACTGGATACTCTGAATCCTCCTTTGAATCCTCTGCATCTGGACTACATGTAGCTTCATCAACCTGTATTTCTTCAATTGCTTCTTGGGGCAATTCCTCTGCCTTGGGTACAATGTTTGTTGCAACATCTACTTTGTTGTCAAGAGTTGCAGACTCACCTGAAACACTTATTAATGCTTCTTTTTCTTCTTTTGTTTGTTCCGATAGGACTTTGTTGGTGTGGATCTTAACTGATTCCTGACCAAATGTGACAATTACAACATCATCAACTTGACTCAGGTGAGCTTCAGAATCACTGGAAACTCCTGCAAGTGTCATTAGATTTGAAAAATCATCTTCACTGAAAACAATTTGTTGAGAACTCTGGACTTCCATTGCCGTGTTCTCTTCTTGGTGGATATAAGTGGTTGAAGCTGCTTGTACAAGGCCTTGGTTATCATTTTGGTTCCATGGGTCAATGTTTTGTGTTTGCCAATTACCGGCTGCAGACAACACATGTAGTGGTATATTTACATTTTCCCAATTGTTTTCAGTCTGTACTTCAACATTTGCTTTGCTGGGTACTTGCCACTGGGTGTCTGCAGTCTGGTCATTTGATTGAACCTCCATTTGTATTTGGACCGGCTCTTTACTTGCTATCTGCCAATCTTGTCCCGGGGCAAGCTCTGTGCTATTAAGGGCCTGACCTAGAAGTGAATATCCCTTTTTCATATTATTCTGTGAAGCATACTTCTCTTCTTCTGTTACCTCTTCAAAATGGTTGTAAGTTTCAGGAACTTCCAAAAATCGTTCAGAAGAGTTCCATGTGGTACCTGTAGAATCAACTGTTATAACAGACTTAGAATCCGGCTGTTCCATCACTGATTCAGTCACTACAAAATTGTTTGATTGACTGTCCAGTATGGAATCAGGGTTAATTATCTGTTGTTTACCATTAGGGTGATTAATGATAATGTAGTGGGAATCTTCAGAGGATACATGCAAAGGATGTTCAAGATTATTATCAACTTTCTCTTTAGGACAAGTGGCATTTACAACCCTGTTCTCAAGAACCTGTACTGGTACTTGATTTCCATCCTTCTGGAAGTAGTACAAGTTATTTTTTCTTTCTCCACTAGTGTTAGAGTTTGTTTTATCGGAAACAAGTGAAATAAATCTATGACATGGTTTCTCATTATGTTTTCTCAGCATAGATCTTCTTGCAAAGGTTCTATTACAATTCGAACATGCATGCCGCTTTGTGTCCAACTCGCTATGGGTTTTCAGGTGCTGATTGAGGTTACTGATGTAGAAGAACCGTCGACCACATTGCGGACACTGATGTTTCTTCTGTCCTTCATGCAGAATTAGATGCCTTTGCAAACCATCTCGCGTTGTCATTCCTTTCCCACATCCAGGAATTGTGCACATAAAAGGTCTTTCACCTGTATGACCCCTTTGATGAACCATTAACCGGTACTTAGAGATGAAGGCCTTCTCGCATTGGTCACATTTATGATGCTTCTCCTTGTGAAGTAGGCGGTGATGCCTTAAAGATTGTCGAGATAGAACCGCACCACAAATGTCACATTCTGTTTGAGATGGAAGCATCGTGTTATCTGAATTCTTACATTTGATGATGGGTCCATCATCAGAATGTTTTGCCAAAATATGATCTCTAAGTTGGGACTTGTACCCATACCTTACATCACAGTGAGGACATTTATAAGGTCTTTCACGACTATGAGTTCTAAAATGTTCATCTAAATGACTTTTACACTTGCAAATTTTTTGACAAACAGAACACTGGTACCGATTTTTACCATTGTGTTTGAACATGTGTTCTACAAGATGGTCTTTAGAAATACAGACTTTTTGACAAATATGACATTCAAGATCAGTTTCTCCTTTGTGATTTTTCATGTGCTTGGTTAAATCCCCCTTATCAACAAAACTTTTTCCACATTCTAAACAGGAAAAAGATCTTTCTCCGGTATGTACACGCTTGACATGGCGTACCAAGCAGTAAGGGTTTGCAAATCGCTTATCACATTCCTCACAAGGGTAATCTTTATCAGATGAATTTTCAGCTTGATCATCCTCTAGATTCTTTTCTTTTGATATTCTCTCAGATTTCCGCACAGTGTAGGTTTTGCAGCTTTTGAGGCCCGACTGATGTTTCTTCAGCTCTTTTTTATAATAGAAGGATTTATGACACTTTGTACATTCATACAGATTTTCCCTGGTGTGGAATTTCAAATGATTGTCTAAAGCAAGTAAACAGTCAAATTTTACATCACATTGGGGACACTGAAACTCTGTTGCTTCATCATCTATTGTTTCTGATTCGTCTTGCTCAGGTGATGCCATTTTTTCCCCTCAATCCTGGAAAGAAAATTTTAAAAAAATAAATGGAAAAACAACATCAGCCAATTTTTTACAGGGTGAATACAAGCAGGTGCTTTATCTATATTCAAGACATCTTACTGACTATTACTTGGGTCAGGGATAGACTGGGACTGGGTGTGTGAAATGTTTTGAAATCCTTATAAATTTGTGTTTTATAGACTGTAAATGGTGCTGCCAAGGTATCCTTATGTTTCTAGCACACAAACTTATCAATTCATCAAAAACAATGTAAATTCAAGACTAAAGAGCCCCCAAAACAATGTGTGAATAGGACTGGGGTTTGCAAGACATCTTCAGTTTTCTTCTTTCTTGGGGACACAAATATTTATTTGCCGTTAGGTTTGATAATACTGTAAATCATCAGTTGTATTCGACTGTGGACTTTATTAACAAAATACTGAGGCTCACCCGAGTTGGAATTCGAAGAAGACCAGACGGACACATATAACCACATAAATGAAATGAAATGGGGTTTTAAAGTCCTACTGTTTTGCTCTGACCTGCTCTGACTGGGCTAATGAAGACAGGCATACGCCATACAGTGTGCTACGAGGGAAATTTTTTGCCAAGATAGCGGCTTTACGGCCTACTTGAATTCCAACTGCCAAGGGATCTTTTACGTGCACACCAATGTGTACACCCCCCCCCCCCCCCCCGCACCACTGACAAGGGGAAATCACCCTGGAAAATAACGATGAACTTTCTCAGCTAACATCGGGATCGAACCTGTGACCTCCAGAGGCTAACGAGTCAGCGTCTTACTCACTTAGCCACCGTAACTCCCCTCCATATGAAAATGACAATAAAAACAAATGGAGATTTAAGGTCAATGTCCTACTTTTCTGTACCGACTGGGATAATTAAGACGGACCATATATATGTTAATCTTAAAATTACCAACAGTAGTGTTGACGAGAATTCAAAGTTTAAATGAAATGAAATGGGGTTTAACGTCCAACTGTTCTACTCTGTCTTGGCTGATTAAGACAGGCATACGCCATACAGTGTGCCAAGAGGGAAATTTTGCCAGTGCTACGGCCTCTTTAAATCTAATTCGAACTGCCAGGGGATCTTTCACATGCACGCCAATGTGTACACCGGACCTCTTTTTTTGTTCCATCCAAACGATTAGACCGCTGTCCATGTCAGATCATCCGTCCTGCACCACTGAAAAGGTTCAAAGTTTAAACCCCATTCCATTTTCATTCAAGATGTTTTATATATATATTTAGTTATTTACATTCAAGATGTTTTATATATAGTTATTTTCATTCAAGATGTTGTATATTTAGTTATTTACATTCAAGAAGTTTTATATTTAGTTATTTTCATTCAAGATGTTTTATATTTAGTTATTTTCATTCAAGAAGTTTTATATTTAGTTATTTTCATTCAAGATGTTATATACATGTACAGTCGTTGCTGTTTGTATTTCAGAGGAGAGCCAAAAAAAGCTCCCCTCAATCAACAAAATGAAAAAATCGCTCCCATCAAAAAACTCTCCCAGTTTTGATGAGGAAATAGAAATCAAGTAGAGTGTTCTGATGTTTAGTAGAGTGATTAGTTATGCGCATGGGAAATGGTTCTAAGATTAATAACTGCATGTAATGGGGTCATTCCTGGTTTCATAAATGATAATAAACCCCAAATGACTATGTAAAGGAGAGTGATTTTAAGTTTTAAGGGAAGGGGAAAAAAACTCCCCTCAGTCAACATTCAGGTCAAGAGCAGGTGCTCGAGAGCGATCACTCGCCTTAAAAAACAATGACTGCATGTATGTAGGTACATATACATGTAGCCTATATTTCATGTTCACCTCACAGAGTGGCTCAATGACTATGGTGCTGGCATACTAACCAGGAGGTGCCTTATTTCAACCCAGTATTGGGCGAGAAAGTTCCAGCTTGAATTTCTCTTGTAAGTGGTGCAGGACCTCCAGAGGGAAAAAGCATTTAGTCTTTCAGATGGGACTTTTATGTAATTTATTTGTAGGCTTGTATTACATGTACATTGTACATCATCCGATTGAATACAAACCATTGGTATTTTGATTTTGATTTCTCAATTAAATAAGCAATCAGAGTATTAGCGTGGATTAAAGATGCATTATGTAAGATTCAGATAGAGCTGGCAGTTCTCGCCTCTTTACTTAAAAGGGCTGTTTGGAGAATAGCAGAGTCTCGATTGTCATTGCTATCGTTGTTTTGATACATGTAGTAAACAAAGTCTTGATTATCCATTTTTTAATTAAGTCATTAACCATTGATCGTGTTTAAATCCATTGAAAATCAAAAGCACCCGATGCCATAGAGAGTTGATTATGGTCTTGGCAAGTAAATAAATGTTTAATTAAGTGTAATAATTTATATATATAACATTAAAAGCCCAAAGAAAGACCTGCATTAGACAGATTTAGCTCTTGCATAATGCATCTTTATTAAAGTGGCATTACGGAAGATTAGATAAAGAGCTGACAATCAAAAAAATAGAGCATGTAACAGGAATATGCTAAAAATTTCAGTCAAATTAGTTCACTTAATAACATTATGTCAATAAATGTCTAATTAATATTTTATATAACATTTTACTCGACGCAAACTAGGTCATTTCGGGGACATACATATGGTTCAATTTTATTTCAATAATTTACTTGTGCATAGGGGTCTTTAGGCTTTAGCAGTGGGAGGAAACCAGAAGTCATGGAGAAAAACCCATGACAGACGACCCTTCTCCTTGTCACGTATAACCACTGAATCAGGGAATCGAAAACACGCTTGACTCAATGACAGACCTTACAACACGTACACGCTAACCATTCGGCCATCCAACATCCCATTTAATGACAGTTCTAAGTGATCATGGTAATATATTTATATTGCTTTTAAGCGCTAGGCCTATCTCCAGCGAAACAAATAGGCCTACGCTGCCAAACCAGATATGCCCTTTTACTGTAGGCCTATTTTTAAGTCAAATTTAGTCATGAATATCTTTCAGTTATAATCGGATGAATGTGCACTGATTTTACATGAGTATATGTGTACCTTTGCATTGGTCAATTATTATGTAAAGACTGTTTGTTCTTTTTCTCAGCATTTGTGACTAAACCTAAAAGTAAAACTGTGTGCCTAGTTAATCGCGCCTAATGAAAGCACCCCGAGAACATTTTAACTGCCCAACAAGTTTAAATCTGAACAATATGATTTTTCTACATATAAAATCATATCTATACAAACCTTTAATCGTTACTAATAGGGTGACACGTATTTCATTCCAATAAAAACTTTTATAGCAATCAGAAAAGTATCAATTGAAAGAAATTGAAACTAAAATTTGTGCATTCGGAACAGCTTTGCTTTTGGCGTTATGGCGAGAAGGTGTGTTCGATTATATTTCCGGTTTTTTTTTCCAATCCGGTTCAACCCGTGGTTATTGATGTCAGTTTCATGTTTAAAATAACACACATCTCGCATTCTGTTAAGTAAAGGTATCCGTGTTTTTTTGTTAACTCTGTCATTCTGTTATTGCGAATCTACATTGGACTACTGCAAACTGAATATATTTTCTTTTTTAAAACATTAGTTAAAACTACACAAAGACGATGAATCGAACTCAACCTCTGCATAAGGGCGGTAACTCTGCTAATCCATCTGGACGGATTCAGACTAACAATTCTCTCTACATTGGCAAAAAAGTAAATCCATGCCTTTCCATGCCCTTAGTCTAAAAGTAATAACACTTTGTTGAACATTCCGGTAATCCTAGTCTTTCTGACCTCAACGAGCCGAACACTTCATATTCATCTTTTACAAATATTGAAGGGTGTTTACAGGGGCGGATTGGGCCATCGAGCGATCGGACAAAAAATGAAAAAAAAAAAAAATTTTTTGTCCAATTCGTCTAAAAAAAACCTTTTCTGCTGAACATTATATATAGGGGGGGGGGGGGGTATTGGACCGGCCATGGAGCGATTGGGCCATCGGGCGATCGGACAAAAAATGAAAAAAAATTTTTTGTTGTTGTCCAATTCGTCTAAAAAAAAACTTTTCTGCTGAACATTATATGGGGGAGGGGGGGAGGTATTGGACCGGCCATGGAGCGATGCGATGATGATCATGTTGTATGTGGGGCCGCCACGCCATCATAGAGTCTTGAATGGGCTGGTATAATAGACTTTCTGGGTCGGGTGTGCTGGGTGTGGGCCGAAATTCGGAATCCTGCAATGGGGATTCCGAATTTCATCCGAAAATTTCATCGGATTCACCCGACACTGTCGCCCGCAAATTTACTAATTATTAAGTTGTGGGGATACACCAGAAACGTCTGCCGATGGTTCGTAACCAAAAAAAAAAAAAAAAAAAAAAAAAAAAATCAATTTTAAGGCCTCAGCAAAATTTGATGATAGCTGGTCTGCTGGCTGAATATGAGTGCGTGACGATTTCCGGAGGATGGTGTTTAAAAAAACATTCCTTGACATTTTTATTATTTTCAGAGATGAAATTACAGAATTGGGATGTCGGGAATGGTCTCAAATTGCGGGAAATGGCCTCCCATTTCCAAAAATTCAAAAATGAATTTTGTCCCGTACGCCTATGTATGTCCACTCCCACTCCGTGAAGGCAACCTGTTATTCAATATTCCTAACTGGTTAATCAAATGGTCAAAATTTTCTTAACTAGTCCCATTTTTTAACCAGTTAAATTCTCTTGACTCTTGACGATACAATGATAATCGTACGTTAATTAATAATATGACGATATGATAATTTCACAGGTTGATGGTTGTAAATTACTTGCAGGTCGGGGTTTTTGGCCTAAATTAATCGATTTATGAGATATATTATTTGACAGAGATTATAATCAGATATGCCACCAAATCGCATATTTGGGGTTCATTTTTCAAAATTTTCCAGGGGGAGAGCCTCCACAGCCCCCTTCCGGGCTCCGCGGTCAGTAAAAGGGGCCGCTCAGACACGAGAGCGGCCCCAATCCGCCCCTGGGTGTTTACCGTGTTGATTGTTTTCCATGCCCCGGTTATAGCAATCTATACTAATGTCCAAAAGAAAGTACACACTGTGCATTTTGTGCTGCATCAACCAAAGTCGTTTTTCCATGGTATACGGTATTTGGGTAGAATGTCAATTTGTTTCACATTTTGATTTTGCTTAGAAATGTTGAGTTTGGACGCAAGAGACAAACTCAGTAATGCTTTATCAAATGTTTTTAATCTAAACAAAACTTAGTCATACTTTTAGTGTGTATACTTTTTTTGTACATCAGTATATATATTTGGCGTCATTTTCGCACGTGTTTTCCCCACAATGTTCAGTAGTGAATATTCATTCTTCGCTTGGCCGCTACAATCACTGACAAGGATGACGCAACACAATCTTCTTTTGCAAGTAATGAAGGGTGTTTACCATTTCGATTTTTTTTTGCATGCCCCGGTTTATATTTGGCTTTCCCAATCTGATCAGCAAGTGAATATTTGGGAGTAGGCTATATCTGGATAAAACAAATATTTCCTATTTAGTGTAAATGGGTACATAAAATAGTAGCCTACTTGAGGTGTAAGTAGTTAAAAGAAGGCATATGTATTACCCAATTCATGTTTGTTTACTTCCTGGTCCTTCCTCAAAATCATGAATATTCACCAAAACCATACATAAAATGTAAAATCGAACACTCCCTTGACTTGATCCCGCCCAAAAAGTTAACATAAACTTCCATGCAAAAATGAAAGGGAGAGAGCGAATTTCTATAACTAGACTATCTACAGGGGAAACTACCCTACACAAGATCTTTAAAAATGCATTATGTAAGAGCTAATTAATCTGCCTAATGCATGAGATCTTTCATTTGGCCTCAAATGTTATATAAACAGGGGCATGCATAACTATTTTGGTTGAGGTTTTTTTGGTGGGCGGGGGGGGAGTGTTTAGCAAATATGTGACCGACTGCTGCACAGGCCCCCAATACGAATGATGCAGCCACGAGCGGATCACCTTTGGCGCAAACGTTCTAGGCGGGGTGGGTGGGGCCGCATGCTTAGCTGGAAAAATTTTTGAATCTATAGTCCCTGAAATGCCATTTCTTGAACTTTGGGGAAGATTTTGCAGAATTCTGATGGTCAAAAAAACCCCTTGTAACATGAGTGAAATTGAGTACTACGCATGGGAATTCATGATATTTATTATGAATTTTGCACGTACGTTGTACAATACATGTACAGTACTTCTATTGGCACTGGCATAGTCAGGGTTTTCACCGTATGGCGGAAAGACCCTTTTGGTGCCACCATGTGCACACAGATAGTTTCAACCTATTTGACCAACTTTACCGTGATAAAGGAAGAAATAAGCAATCAAATATTTAACAAAAGGGAAAGGCAAAATAATTAAGTAATGGGTAATGTAGACCAGACCCCAAGGTAAAATTACAACCCCCACTCAGTGCTCATAGGTAACTAAGGTGTCTAGGTCATCCAGTTGTTTGAATACAGTTTGAGGGATAAAAGAGAGAGAGGGAGAGAAATTGGATTTTAATGTCCACTCAACACAAATTAGGTCATTTCTGGACCAACACACTGTTCAATTTTATTTCAATAATTCACTTGTGCATAAGGGGTCTTTAGCTGTGCGAGAAAACCGGAGGACATGGAGAAAACCCTACTCCTTTCACATACAAACCATGACACGTGACTCAACAATACACCTTATGATCTAATAAACCATTTGTCCACCCAAATCTCCTCTGGGGGAAGAGGAAGTAAAATCAAACTGCTTCACTCAATGACAGACCTTATGATCTAGTGTGCACACGTTAAACCATTTAGCCACCCAAACCGTCCTCTGGGGGAAGAGGAAGTAAGATCAAGCCACTTGATTCAATGACAGACCTTATGATCTAACATGCACGCGTTAAACCATTTGGCCACCAAATCTCCCTTTGGGGGAAGTAAAATCAAACCATTCTTATCAAATGATCTTTAAATCATTTAAAGAACAATTAAATTTGAAGAGAAGTAAAGATTTAATTTTCAAAGTAAAGATTTAATTTTCAAAGTAAAGATTTAACTTTCAAAGTAAAGATTTAACTTTCAAAGTAAAGATTTAACTTTCAAAGTAAAGATTTAATTTTCAAAGTAAAGATTTAATTTTCAAAGTAAAAATTTAATTTAGATAACAACATTTTCAAAATAATTTAGATAACAATATTTATTAATGTGAACGGTGAATTGTTTCATGAGCTAACGCTAACAATCTTTTTGAAGAGAAGTAAAGATTTAATTTTCAAAGTAAAGACTTAATTTTCAAAGACAGTAAAGACTTAATTTTCAAAGACAGTAAATATTTAATTTTCAAAGTAAAGATATAATTTTCAAAGTAAAGATATAATTTTCAAAGTAAATATTTAATTTTCAAAGTAAAGCTTTAATTTTCAAAGTAAAGATTTAATTTAGATAACAACATTTTCCAAAAAAATTTAGATAACAATATTAGTTAAAGTGAACTATGAATTGTTTCATGAGCTAATGATCTTTTTGGAGTGTGATTGTTTATTTAATTTGAAATGGGTTTTATGATGCTGTTCCATATTACTAAGGATGAGAAAAGCTTTTGCGCACACTATTAGTTAAGTGAACTATGAATTGTTTCATGAGCTAATGATCTTTTTGGAGTGTGATTGTTTATTTAATTTGAAATGGGTTTTATGATGCTGTTCCATATTACTAAGGATGAGAAAAGCTTTTGCGCACACTATTAGTTAAGTGAACTATGAATTGTTTCATGAGCTAATGATCTTTTTGGAGTGTGATTGTTTATTTAATTTGAAATGGGTTTTATGATGCTGTTCCATATTACTAAGCATGAGAAAAGCTTTTGAGCACACGGGGCATCTGTGAGGTTTCTCTCCTCGATGTTTCATTTGATGATACCGATAGTCTCGGACTTCAACATATGATTTATCACATCCAGGTTCTAAACACTTGAATGGTTTGTTTCCGGTATGGTTTCTTGTATGCCGCATCAACTTTGATCGAGTTGTGTATGATTTATTACACTCTCCACATGGAAAAGGCCGAACGGCTGCATGGACTCGTGAATGGTACCTCAAAGATATCTCAGATCTAAATTCCTTGTCGCATTTATCACATTTGAAAGGGGAAACTCCAGTGTGGAGCCGATAATGGATAATGAAGTCGCGTTTACGTACAAATCGGTGTCCACATTCCTTACATTCGATTGGTTTGTTTTCTGGATGAGACAGCAGGTGGTTGCTTAGCTCACTGTTGTTTTTAAACTGTTTATCGCAAACTTCACAAGAGAACAGTTTACCCGAGGTATGTTTTTCCACATGTTCCGTCAATTGTCCAGGATGGATGAACATTTTATTGCAAACTTTACACTGGGTACAAGAATTTCCATCATGGTGATCCTTGCAATGTTTTTTCAAAACTCGCTGACAGTCGAAAACTTGACCACAATCAAAGCATTTATGAATGTCCAGAGTAGGATGGACAGATGTATAATGTTTGATTAAAGCGTGGTAAAACCTAAAATTTTCTGGACAGTAACGACAATCATATATGTAAAAATCCTTCAAGGCATCCGGTATTTCCTTTACTTCATTATATGCTGAATCAAGAAGGTTTTTCTCATCAGCCAGTCCAATATTTACATGTTTAATTTTTTGTGATAATGTTTTGTTCATGTGAATCTTCACAAATTGTTTACCACCTGAGACAATTACAATATCAGCATTGGATTTTATATTATCTGCTTCATCAAGATCAGTAATACATGCAGCATCAACAGAAGTCCCTACATCATTACCAGCATCAGCACTTACAGTGTCACCATCCAAAATTATTTTACCTTCAATGACATCAACAGTAGCAGTACATGTTGGTTCATGAGTATCAGAAATTTCTTTTTCAACATCACATTTGGAATCTTCAACTTCAGAAACAGAGATTGCTTTAACATCTGCAGCATCAGCATCTACATTTTCCACATAAGAAATTATTCTTCCATCATTTGCAGACTCTTCAGCAGCTGCAATATAATTAACATTCTCCTGTGCAACACCAACATCTTCATATTCATCAGAAACTTCCAGCTTTACAATGGAAAGATTAATAGTACTAAACATATTATTTATTTGTCCTTTGACATTAGACGATGTATCATCAATAATTTGAAAAATATTGGCAGAATGTTCACCAACATCAACGTTATTATATTCAGCTACAGTTTCTGTCTTTATTATTTTCTCCAAGATAGTTTTGTATTCTTCCTGTTGTGGTTCCTCGTTGCTTGTCTGAACCATTTTGTTACACTTTTTCTGGGCAGACTTGGAGCGTGATGGTCTTTTCCGAGTTGGATCATTTGTGTGTATCTTAACATGTTGATTCAGGCCCCCGACCAAGAAAAATCCTTTACCACAATAGCTACAGTAATGATTTTTGATACCCGCATGAACGGCCATATGTCTGTTATAAGCATTCTTTGTGCGTAATCTGTTATCACATCCAGGAAACGTACACGGAAAAGGTCTCTCTCCAGTATGGCCCATTTGATGGACAATCAAATGATGTTTTGAAACGTAAGATTTGTCACATTGGTCACATGCATGTCGTTTGTCCGTGTGACGAAGTAGATGTTGTCGGAAACTTATGCGAGAGATAACTGCACCACAAATGTCACATTCTCTCTGAGTACCATCCATAATTTGGTCAGAAAGCTTGCATTTTATTCCAGTTCTATTGTCTGTATGCTTACATCGGATGTGAGCATTTAACTGGGATTTGTTTTTGTAATTGATGTTACAGTGTGGGCACTGATATTTCCGTGCATTGGTGTGTACTGTTCCAGCATGTTCCTTGGCGTGAGATTTTCTCTTAAAATCTTTTTGGCAAACAGCACATCTGAACATCTTTTTATTTTCAACCAGCACCATATAAAATTCGTCAGCTTCACTATTAATTAATGTGGACTTTTGATCGATTTGAGAATCTGAGCTAATGGATTCCGAGACATTGACCATTGAATCGCCATTCTGCGCATCAGTTTCTACCTCAGTTACCTGGGAAGTTCCTCCACACTCGGGGCTCAAAGTCAAATGCTCCTCCAAATATGTCTGATACAGAAATGATGTATGACATACTTCACATTCGTATGGATTTTCTTTTGTGTGGAACTTTAAATGGTTATCTAGGACCAACAGGCAGTCAAACATGAGATCACACTGAGGACATTTGTACAGAGTTGGTGTACTCTCTTCATCATCCATTTCTCTTTCCTTCTTTTGTAACACTAAACCTTGTCCTTTCCACTTCTGAAAAATAGAAACATTTCATATGTAATGCTACAATTCAGTTATAAAGGGGTTTTCCCATTTATCAATGCGGATCCCATTACAGGGAAATTAGAGGGTTGGGGCTGGGGGGGGGGGGGATTCTAGAGTTTTCTGCTTCAAGGTCCAGGTGTGGCCTGTTACCTTTGGCTTGTAGTCATGGTTTCGATCTCTAGGGTGAACGTACAATGTATGTGGCTTGGACATAGGGGTGCGTTCTTAAACTCCCACAGGAAACACCTCTGCATGTGACCTAAGATAATAAAAATAAGAAAACTTGTCTGCGATACATGTATTACCCTTAGTAGAAGCGGACGTCACACCCTAATAGAAGAAAAAAAGAACAAGGTCATCCAGCCACACCATTTCAAAGATAATTGTTTTGGTTTTTTTTTTGGGGGGGGGGGGGCGAAATGGGGTTTAACCTCCACTCGACACAAACTAGGTCATTTCGGGACTAATGTATGATTCCATTTTATTTCAATCATTCACTAGTGCATAAGGGTCTTTAGCAGTGGGAGGAGACCGGAGGACCCACAGAAAATCCAAGAGTGGGGAATCGAAACCACGCCACTCATTGATAGACCTTGTGATTTCACACGAACACGTTAACTATTTGGCCACCCAACACTATAAGAACTCTTTTTTTTCTGGTAACAGAACACCTCGAAAAGGCCCTAAAATCAATTGTTACATGTACCAGCCCCGCTCCTCCGCCACACTATCCATATTGATAGGCAGGCAAAAAAAAAACACTACTCCACTCCAACATCTATCATTTTCTCTAAAATGCCTATTTCAGTTATTTCTAAATTCTTGCTGCTAATTATTGAGATATTTATAATTTGTCTGTGACTATGATCATCGCAAATTTTGTTCGACATTGGCCCTTATTTTCTGGTTATTCTCTTTACCTATTTATGTAATGATAATTGTAGTGGTAGGTTACCTTGGGGCAGTCTATGCTTACTCTACAATGCATGGACCCTTTTTTTTTTGTATAAACAATATTTTATTTAGGTTGTCTTAATGGGATTGGGGAACAGGCTTAGCCTATGTAAAACCTCTCTCCCTGAATAATTTATATATATAATATTATTGCAAATAGGTGTATATGCATAGTTGAAATGGCAAACACATACATATTATATAAATATAATAGAATGGATGGAAATGTACAGTATATATAATAGGTCATGCGTATTATTGATTTGGTACATGTAGGCTCCCATTTCAAATTTTGTGGGTTGGAGAGTCTGGTAGGGACAACCTATAGTCTCTTTACTCAATTTCACCCATCATTTTTTTGAGTCAAGAATTACCCCTGCGCTGCAGATTACATGTTGTATTTGTGAAACGCAAATTAATGGACCTGCCATATATGCCACTACCTAATTAAGAAACCTCATCTCTCAACCCTCCATGTTTCGAGATGGTATCATCTAGTTTTACCTGACAAAACCCCAATGCAAATCAGATTGGGCTTCAATAATGAAAACTGTCAATTTTTTCTTCAAAACAACAATTGATTATTCAATTTATTGTTCTTTATAACATTTCTGCCACATCCAACTACAATTTGAATTACAAATCATCTCTTAAATCGAAGCAAATTTTAAATTTGACATCTTTATGTCATGGAGGCGGGACTAAGAATATGCAAAAAGTATATTTCAACATTTTAGCTATGAATCCGTGACATCTTTACGTCATGGAGGCGGGACTAAGAATATGGAAAAAGTATATTTCAACGTTTTAGCTATGAATCCGTGAGTGGTAGCTACCCGACCCCATCCATCAGTATTTCATTGAAACTAAACAGTACTTTGCCCCAATGAAATATCGAGGGTCTTGTTATTCGAGACTAAGGTCAAGAAATCTTTGGTATGGCCGTTTGAAAACAACAAACAAAACACAATTTTAACTACCAATCCACAACTTATGAAATGCACCACCTGCAAATGGAGTTTTCTTATTCTATCTACCTTGAATATAAAATATGACTGAAAACAAGATAACAGGCACAACCTTTCCCAAAACTTTGACGTCCGCTCAAACAGGAGAGTTTCGCATCGGCACTTCTCGTTTTGTTGTGTTCGAAACAATTTTGGTAAATACAAATTCAAGTAATGTACGCATGCGCGGGAACCCTTCACGCGTGTTAGTATGGACTATGGACCGTCAATGTTTACAGCATAAATACAAATAGATCAGAATATGCGAATCTTTACTTTATTAGCTATATAGAAAAACAATTATTTATTGATCTGTTAAATGCTAATAATTATAATGAAGCACCGGTTCAAAATTTGACTGAAAATCTAGATTGTGATTCATATATGACAATGTCCATCAAACGAACGCGTGTAATGAACGGGGGGACAACTCTTAACGAATACAACAATAATTTTTCTTCTTCTTTTGTTGCAAACATAAATGATAAAGTTGAATGAATAGATTTAAAACAATTTTCAGACTTTAATGGTTGTTAGGTAAATACTCTTGGCAATAGCGCCAATACTCTTTTGTTATCAAATAATCTATATTATAATAAATGTAGCAAAACAATCGGGATTTTAAGCCCGAGATGACACGGGTGATTGATGTATTGTGTCCTTCCGTTCGATTTCTCCTTCATCAGTCATCTCTGTTTACAAAGTGTTTCAAAACTTTGCTAGTGGGAAATCTGAAGTTGAGAAAAAAAAAATTGTTAAATAACATGTATTTTTTAAAACTTTAAATAATAATGTTAAAAAACAGTAGGCTAATAATTTTTTGTGAGGCTCATGGCTCATGCCTTTCAACATAATAAAGGATCATTCATGTCAAATGACCACTGGCACTGGATGGAATTGGATACTGACCCCTTAAAAAATCTGAAAACTACATAATTAAAGTAAATTCCCAGTTTGCAGTTTTGTAGGTCAAATATTGGTGGATATATACATTGCCTACGATTTCAAATTTTCTTTTTTCTGTTTTGTTTGCACCTCTGTTGTGGAAGCCATATATATGATAAGACTTTGCCTTGCTAAACTGGAGGTTCCATGTTCGAACCCTGTGTTTGCCGAGAAAATTCATCATCATTTTCTGGCGTGGTTCCTCGTTGTCAGTGGTGCAGGACTGAGGGTGTAGCAACTTTAGCAAGGGACATCATATGCAAAATATTTCTCATAGCACACTGTAGTGTGGCCAGCCTATGCTCTTCATCAATTAGCCCAGTTGTAGTAGGACTTTAAACCCCATATCATTTCATTTCATTATCAGCTCCGTTGATTTAAAAGAACACCCTAACTTGGCAGTCTAATAAAGCTATGCACATTGTTTACGATTTCGGGGGTTGGGTGGTTGAATGCTTAATGCGTGCGCATTGCATCACAAGGTCTGTCATTGAGTCAAGTGGCATGGTTTCAATTCACCACTTGTACATGACAAGGGGTAGGGTTGCCTGTCCAACCTTGTGGGTTTTCCCCGGGTGCCCCGGTTTCCCTCCCATGGCTAAAGACCCCTATGTGCAAGTGAATTAATGAAATAAAATTGAATATGTTAGTCCCAAAATGACCTAGTTTGTGTCAGTGGACTTTAAACTCTTTCAGTCACAACCCACCTTGGGAGGTTCGTATGGTGAAGTGGGGTTTAACGTCCTACTGTTCTGCTCGACTGGTCTAATCAAGACGGCCATACGCCATACAGTGTGCTATGAAGTAAATTTAGCCTAGACAGCGGCACTACCCTTCTAGGGATCTTTTACATGCATGCCAATATGTAGCCTACACCGGATCTCTTTTTTTTTTGTCCCATCCAAACGACTATACGTTATCCCTTGTCAGCTGCCCTCTGTCCTGCACCACTGACAAAGGGGAACCATGACAGAAAATCCTGATGAACTTTCTCGGTCAACATATTGATCGAACATGAAACCTCTTACTCACTGAGCCACAGTTGCTCCCGTATGGTGAAATAGTTGATCCCTCTAGATTGCTAAAAACTGAATCTTATGAAGTGGTCTAACAGTATAACAATCGCCTCAGCATATACCTGTACATGTATGGAAGGACAACGTTGCCAATATTATTTCAATGTTCACTGTACAAACTGCGTATGTCTGCAGTTCAAAATACATATTTTAGTTTTACAATTTGCAATTCCCATTGCTCCACAATACCATTGTTAAAATACAGAATACACTTTTCAATAATACTAAATACAGTATAATAGTTATTTTCCACATTACACTTTTGCATAATAGACAAATGCATTACAGAACTTAGTATATTAGAACATATACCTTATATGGGATCTACGACGAAACTCATTTGCATACGGAAAAAATCCAGACTAGGACGGAAATTAATAATTTACACGATCAATCTGCAAGGTTAATTGGCAGAGATCAAGCTGGCATACGATAAGTCACTATACAATAAGTCGGTTTACCATTCAATAAGAGGGAATCAAGCTACCATGCAATAAGGAATTTGCTGGATGACCATGACTTTTGTCAATCGGACTTATGGCTAATCGGAGCTGGCGCTGTAGCCTGTAGGTCGCGTGTTCGACCCCTGCATTGGCTGAGAAAGTATATCATGATTGTTCGACGTGGTTTCACCTTCTCAGTGACGCAAGAAAGAGGGCCTGACAAGGACAGCTGTCTAGTCGTTCGGATGTGACAAAAAAATGAGGTCCCGTGTATATATTGTCGTGCACATAAAAGATCCCTTGGCAGTTGGAATTCGATATAAGAGTAGGCAAAAATTTCCCTCATAGAACATTGTATGGCATACGCCTGTCTTTATTAGCCCGGTCGGAGCAGAGCAGTGGGATGTTAAAAACCATTAGGCTGACCTTAAAAATATCTTTGTTTCGCCTAACGCGACCGACTAACTAAAACCACCCCCGACTTAAATTATTTTATTGCACTTTTCCGCGATCTTTTTATTTTATTTTGTGTGTCAACCTGAAATATATCACGAGAGTTATTTCCCTTTACTATGGCTATGGTTTGATTCATTATTGAAACTAGTTGATCAAGACGAAAGCATCATAGGTGTCGCTTCTCAACAAAATGGTTGTAGACGAAAGCACGTCCATTCCCACGAAATGATTCTGCCTCTATTTTTCTCGAAAACGGATATTGAATATCCGTTTTCGAGAAAATTGAAGGCACAACCCGCACGATCGTTAAAAAACGTGTTGAGGGAGTTTCAAACGTCAGTTTCTGGCAATTCGTGTGCGAGTCGTGCATCACGAAAAATCTCGATGTCATTGATTTGTTTGACAATAAAAGAAGACGAATGTTTGCACCCGGAAAATTATCAAGCTGTCAAATTAGCTCTTAAAAAAAAATCTGAAAAAAAACCCCGACCTACCGACCCTTCTCCTCGATTGTGGGTCGGGTTTGGTGAAACAAAGATATTTTTAAGGTCAGCCTTACATTTCATTTTATATTTTCAAAGTATGTAAATATAAATATGCCAGAAAATTATTTAAATATTTGAAAGGAGAAATGAACTGCTCTTTAGTGATACATAGCATGATATATAGAATTTGTATTAAGACAGGTAAATGTATGTTTAGTTTAAATACCTCCACCCTGTCATTTAATAGAGTTTCGTACCACCTGACATTAATTGTTTTTATTTCCCCTTGTCAGTGTTACAGGATGGAGGGCTTGACAAGGACAACTGTGTAATCGTTCGGATTGGACGATACAACAAGGTCCTGTGTACACATTAGCGTGCATGTAAAAGATCCCTTGGCAGTTGGAATTCGATACAAGAGTACTTAGGCCACACTGCATGGTGTATGCCCGTTTTCATTAGCCCAGTCGGAGCAGAACAGTAGGACGTTAAACCCCATTTCATTTCATTTCAATGATTGTTTTCCGAAGGCCTGTAAATATGACCTGTAAATTTCCTTCCTAGATTCCTAGTCCAGACTTCTCCGTATGCAAATGAGCCTCGTCAGAGATCCCATATAAGGTATATGTTCTAATGTACTAAGTTTTATAATGCATTTGTCTATTATGCAAAATGCAGAATGGAGAAGTGTATTGTGCAAAATAACTATTATACTGTATTTAGTATTATTGAAAAGTGTATTCTTTATTTTAACACTGTGACATTGGTATTGTGGAGCAATGGAAATTGCAAATTGTAAAACTAAAATATGTATTTTGAACTGCTGACATATGTATTTTGCACCGTGAACAGTGAAATAATATTGGCAACGTTATCCTTCCATAGTACATGCAGATATGCTCATTGGATCAGATATACAGGTATAAAAGTTTTAAAGGTAACAAAGTTACTCACTTGACTGAAATGGTTACTTTTTATCAATTTCAGATCCTTTAACAGAGGGATAGTGCCAAAGAAATTCTTCTAAAATGAATAATTGTGATCAAAGTTCAAGCAAAAAAAAGGGAAGAAAAGGTGGAAATGGAGGCTGACTTTGATATAATAAAACTAAAAACAGATTTCCATTCTACATCCTCAAATTCAGAATCTTCAATCAACAAAAATAAACCTTCAAGAACCAAAATGAAAAGTGACAAAAAAATAAAACTGTACGTCTGTCCTGAATGTGATGTAGAGTTACCCTCCCATGCATCTCTGAGACGTCATATGAAAATCCATTCTTCTGACACAAGTGTTCATTGTACCAAATGTTTTGAAGTTTTTGCGCAAAGATCAGGTTTAAAGCGACATGAGTGTATTATGGTACGGAAAACATTCTCCTGTAACGAAATAGGCTGTTCAAGAACATTCACTGGCATTCGTCACTTAAAACAACACCAGAGGAGCCATGTTAGCGACACCAGTTTGAAATGTAGTCACTGCTCCGAACAATTTCTTAAAAAGTCCCAGCTAAAACATCACATCAAAAAACACTCTGATGTCAGGAATTTTCAGTGTGCACAATGCGGTAAAATGTTTCGGTTTAAATCAAATTTGACCTCGCATATGAACAGCCATAATGGAATTAAACCTTATAACTGTGAATTTTGTAGCAAAGCATTTCAAAGTTTAAGCGAACAAAGAATTCATCATAGAATTCACTCAGGAGACAAGCCATGCATGTGTGAAATTTGTGGACAGTGTTTTATATCCAATTCTGCACTAAACAGACATAAAAGAATGCACCATATGAAACAACCTCGACTTACTTGTAAGATATGCAAGAAGCAGTATTCTACGAAAAGATTTTATGAAGATCACATGAAAATTCACAGTGGAGAGCGGGACTTTGTTTGTGAATATCCAGGTTGTAATAAAAGTTTCTATCATTGTCGTGGTCTAAATTCCCATATCATTGTTTATCATGCTCGTGAAGAACGCAATAAGTTCTCTTGTCCAACTTGTGGAAAGCAGTGTTTATCCCCAAGTAAACTTGAAGAACACATGGTAAACCATACAGGATTAAAGCCTTTCGTGTGTTCAGAAGAAAACTGTTCTAAAACCTTTGCTACTAAGACTGGTTTGCAGCGCCATTTATTCATACACAAGGGAGTTAAGCCATTTCAGTGTGAAGAATGTGGTCATAAATTTACTTTTAAAAGTCATTACAACCATCATAAAGAGAGCCACCATTTCCTCCAACAGTATCAGTGCACCAAATGCGACACCACAGCCACAAAAGTAACTCAGTTAAAAAAGCACTGCCTGAAACATCACTTTGGAATTCAATGGAAGAAAAATATTTTTCGTTCATTGGATGTAAGGATTGTTAATGAAGTCAATAAGTGTATCAAAAAGCTAATCAAACCGGCAGCCACCTCTTTAATTACGAGTTCTACTTCAAAGATGACAAACCAAGCCAACGGATTTGAGAGTACTTTAGAACAACAACCTGTTAAGACACTTCCTATTGATAATGCCACTCCAGTGATAGAAGGTTTGGAAAAAAATGAAAATTTATTAGAAGAAGAACTGCACTTAACTGCAGTAAAAAATAAAAACGTACATTGGCTGGGAAAAAACAAAGAAAAAAACAAAGATTTACTGCAAAGTCTTCTGTCTGTAAACCTGGAGAGAAATGATAATTTACTTGAAGAACACTTAAATATGGAAATTGAAAGACTGAAAAATAAAGCGACCCAATCTGAAGATGTTGCATTTCTGGAGACTGGGATAATTGGCAACATTGAAAAAAAAGATGAAGAACAATTATCTCATATTTATATAATTGACAAAAATCCAGTTCAGGTCCCTTCTTTACCTGTCAGCAATCCAGTCACAATGCAGTCTGTGAAGAACCAGCCATTGATAACCAAACCTGTAGAGACCCAGTCTCTGAAGAACCAGACTGTAATGATGAATCCTCTGGATAACCAGTCTCTGAAGAACCAGCCCTTCCTGACCAAACCTGTGGAGACTCAGTCTTTCAAGACAAAAACTACAAAGGTTGCTTCAGAACAGCTGAACTCTGCCTCACTTCAGGTAGTTAAGGACCAGCCCGTAAAATGTACTATTACCGAGCCCCACAAATCAAACCCTGTTGAGGTTAAATTAGTTATGATAGCGCCAGTAGAATCTCAGTCTTCTGAGACTGGGTCCGTTGAGACAAAATCTTCAAATTCCCAGTCAATCGTAGAGAAACCAGCCCAGTTTGTTGAAGACCTGCCTGTTGATACCCATAACTTTAAAAGAAAACATTTGGAAACCCAGTCCTCCAAGACCAAGTATGTTTTGGAACATCCCGTTGAGACTAAAACTATTGAGAGCCAGCATATCAAAGTCAAGTCCATGGAACTTGAGACACAGCCTGCTGAAACCAAATTTGAAGAGTGTCAATCGATCGAGACCGAGTCTATCATTACTCCTCATTTTGAGCCAAAGTCTGTTGAAGTTCAGTTTGTGGAGGTCAGTCCTCATCCCCCCAATCCTGTTGAGATCCTTTCACCCAGTACCTTGCCTCCGGGAACTGAGAGTATCGAGGTTCAGAAAGACTGCACCACCACTGTTTTTATGAAAGAACAAGTAGTGGAATTTGTTCATGAGGCAGAGCAGCTTGATCTACTAGAAGCAACAGAAGATTATGATGTACCGTTCTATACCGAAACAATCGTCACTTCAGATGCTATAGCAGACACCCAGTCGAATCCCATGGATTCAAAAGACTTAGTCATGCCTATTTCAATAAACAATCCTGAAGTTGGTGGTAAACCCCTAGACTTATTTCTAGAAGAAGATGATCATTCTTATACTGAAATCTTCTGCTCTCCGGAGATGGATGAGATTCGGTCTTTACCAGAATCTGTTGCACCACATAATGTTGTGCACAGTAATCTGTTTCTCTCTCATAGGGTCACAGAGAGGATACACATTAATCATCCAACTAAGGGAACCATCAAAATATCAAAAATGCGTCCGATTAAAACTGAGGAAGTGGGAGAAAACACCGAGGTTGACGAGACCATTGTTATATCTGTATCTGGTGTTTTTGAAGGTAATGAAGTAGATCGGGACAATGAACAAGACATCACCAAAATAAACATAAAAAATGATGACGAATTTATGAGTGTTCTTAAAAAGATGAATGTTCCAGTTCATGAGCTTGATAAACTGCATCTGCCTTATGAAAAAGATTCAAAATCTATCTCGGGATCACTCTTTTGTCAGGATTGTGGAAAATTCTTTAAGAGTGAACAAACCCTGAAAAAGCACAAAAAGCTTCACATTGAGCGACAGCAATTAACTTGTTTAAAATGTGATAGAAAATTTGCAGATAAAGCAGCGTTATCGCTTCACAAACGAACTTCTCATGTTGTTAAAGACAAAAAGTGTTCGCAGTGTGGTAAATGCTTTCAATATAACAATCAGCTCCTTGAACACATGGACGCCCATTTAGAAGGAAAACGCTTTATGTGTGCTTCTTGTGGAGAAAGCTTTAAAACTAAATTAGGGCTTCAAGGACACAAAATATCTCACCACAAAATCAGCGTCAAGGAAAGTAGCCGCCAAATATATGTTTGTGAAATCTGTGGAAATCTGTTAAGAGCGAAAACAGCTTACGAAGACCACATGAACATCCATGCGGAAAATCCCATCCAATATCAATGCCAATTTCGAGAATGCAACAAAACATTTTTGACGCTAAAAAGTTACAAGGCTCATGGAAAATGTCACCAGGAGAAAAAACGCTTTGCTTGTTCAGTTTGTAGCAAATCTTTTATGTTTAAAGCCAAATTGGATGAACACATGACAAAACATACGGGTATCAAGCGATTTGCCTGCACGTTTCCTGGCTGCGATACTAAACTTGGAACGCGCACGGGACTTGAAAGACATTTAATTCTACATTCTGGAGTGAAAAAATTCTTCTGTAAAAATTGTGGAAAGTCTTTTGCATTTTTGGGCCATTTGAATGCTCACGTTGCCAGTCATTCGGGTGAAAAGCGCCACTGGTGTAAGGTTTGTGGAAAGGGTTTCACTCGGACTGGCGGTTTAAATAAGCATCTGAGGTTGAAAAATGGCTGTTCTAGATCTGAAAATGCCGACACTATAGCTATAGCAACACAAGGTTTAGTAGAGTTGTGTGCCCAATGATAAACTTACATGTATGATCAACCTTTATTAAAACTGGAGGACAATCTCACCACACACAAACATTCAAATTAATGAACAAAAATAGTACTATTAAATAAGGTGAATGGCTCACGGGCCGGCCGTTAGCATTGACTTTGAGCTGTTTTTCTTTGGTAATTCTAAAAATGACATAATGTCACACATAGCTCTTAAATATTACAGGGGCCGAGTGCAAACGGTGATTGATATTTTTTTAACAAAAAAACTATACAGTCTTCTCATCGTGTCATGTAATCGTTCAAAACAAATCAGAACGATTACATGACACGATGAGTAACCCGAACTTACATGTACGTCTGACACGGAATACTGGAGATTGCTTTAGGTGTTTGTCCGAGAAAAAAATCGATTTTGATTTTTAGCTTTGGCATCAGGGACTGTTTTGGAAACCTCCAGGATAAAATAACTCTTTGGATGTGGTCAAAACAGTCCCGTTTTTGGTACCGGGACATAGGGAGATCTTGTGTTTCAGCTAAGATTTATTCACTTCAAACTTGAATTACTGAATATTTACTGTTGGAATGAATAAGTAATCGTTTATATACACGGCTGGCAAAATTTGATAAGAATAACATATTTTATAGGAGGCCCCATTACACACCAGGATATTTTAGTATTGGTGCTTTTTTTGTGAATTTTGGGAGGTATTTTTCTATTAATGAATAGCTGAGATTTGGGAGTGCTACTACATGTATATGTAATCACCGACAAGGACCGACAAGGAAAGATATGTTATAGATATCCAAAAATTGACAAAATTATTATCTTGCGACATGAAAACCTCCCAACGTTCTAGTTGGTGACTACTGACACCATTTTTTTTTCAAAATTTCAATTATCCATAATCTTGTAAATTTTGATGATATTATGATATGATTTGTATAATGTGCACATCTGTCCTTGTCGGTCAATTTTTGCGGTACTTTGAGCTTTAATGACCAAAAGGAACGCCATTGTCAATGTTCCTACAGATTGATCTTTATCTTTGTTACGTCAGTTTCGTCTTCCACAAATTTAACGGTACCCAGTTGTAGCTGGTACACACTCAGTGGAGTCTTTAACTAAATTCAGATTGTACGTGTATTTATCTACCTAAGTATACAATTTGTTATTTATTTTGTTTTTGAATAAAATGTTTGTTAAATATTGTCGAAGGTTTAGTCAACGACTTTATTGGGTACCTTAACCAATTGTAACGTCCCAATAAAATTCTTATTTTTATAAAATAACAACTTCGATAACATATGGCACAGATTTGATAAAATTGGACATACATGTAAATTATCCATTTAAGAAGCTTTATCAACCAATAATACATTCTATAGTAGATATCGCTTGTGTGATATATTTCATAATCTACACTGCGATATCTCCTTAGGAGATATCGCTTTACATGAATTTGATTGGTCAGTTGAAAAGGAACTACTTTTTTTTTATTTTCAAAGAACAGTTCATTTCTTATTAAAAGTAACTTTTTTATTTATTAAAAATTAAATATTGTTATGCAAATGACTTTGATGGAAACACTGGGTCAATATAAAGGACTTTGCAATGGTTGAATTGCTGTCAAAAAATGATGTATCACTACGCCGTAATGTTCAGATAAAGTGAAATCTACAGCAAAGAATTATATTTATCTATTTGTGCATGAAAGAAGGGATTGGGTGATAAATAAAATCTCCTACTCGTCTTTTTTGATATCAAAAAATATCAACACTCGTTGATAAAGTAAAAAAAAACAAACTCGGCAGAGCCTTTTTTGTTACTTTATCAACTTGTGTTGATATTTTTTGATATCAAAAAAGACTGGTAGGAGATTCTCTATTTTATAACTCATGCAAAATTTGCTATTTCTCGACACTTGAACCAGTTATAAACAATTTTCTGATAGCTATATGCTCGTATTGGTCCATCTGTTGATTGGAAATAAAAGAAAATCACCAGAATTTTAAACAAATAACGAAGAAAGTTCATTTGTGGGAAAAGAATTTGTTTAAAAGGTTCAAAATTTGGATCTGAAAATAAACCCCAAACCAGGCTCTAGTCCAGGAACTAGCAAACATTTAATTAGCATCTGGGGGGTTGGATGGCCGAATGGTTAGCACGTGCGTGCTGTATCATAAGACCTGTCATTGAGTCAACTGGCGTGGTTTCGAATCCCCGGTTGTACGTGACAAGGAGTAGAGTCGCCTGTTCAACCTCGTGGGTTTTCTCCGGGTCCTCCGGTTTCCTCCCACTGCTAAAGACCCCTACGCGCAAGCGAATTATTGAAATAAAAATTAAACCATATGTTAGTCCCGAAATGACCTAGTTTGTGTCAAGTGGACGTTAAACCCCATTTCTCTCTCTCTCTTCAATTAGCATTTCGAGTACAAAAGGTTTGAGGCCTGGGAATAGTAGATGCGATCGCGATCCCCAGACACACAGCTTTTTAAGTAATGCTTTTGGGGACACCACCAGGGGGCACTGTTCACATTACGGCCCATTGGTTTTGTAACACATCTTGAGTACATCCACGGTACCTGTGGCACAATGTTCATTAGGATTACCAATCCACCTTAAATGCATATCTCAGTATATACATTCAATAGAAGCACAAAATGTTTCTTCCTCGGAACCCCCTTGGGCAACATCAATCCTTCTGAGTAGTCAATTAGGGGTATTACCCCAATTCTGAGTAGCACAAAATAGGTACCAAACTGTTCCCCGCGGTCACCTGGGGAAATATAAATCAATCCTTGCTACCACCTGGAGAAATATAAATCCTTCTGGGAAATCCGTTTTGTGTTTTAACCCATTTCTGACTAATTCAAGGTCACCATTTGTCGGTGCACGCCTGATCTATCTTAAATGTCTCATCACATACCTTCAGCTATAAACGATTTTTTATACGTCCACATGGAAATGTGGTCTTATTGTGCCATCGTCCCTGTCCGTCGTCCACAATTTCTTGTCAACACTCTACAAACTGCATTTATTATGTGATCAGTTCTAGAGATATGTTCCTTGTTTCACTTTGTAGAAATTTGTGAAAACCCTAACGACTAGTTATGATCTGATCTGTACTAAATTTACATTTATTATTTAAATTAGTAAAACGTCGCGTCGCATTGAATTTCAGCAATTTCCGTTAATTACTTCTAGAGTTATGACCCATATTTACTTTGTTAAACGCTCAAACGACTTAAGTTATCACCCGAACTGTATTAGATTTACGTGCACCATTTAAATTAGTAAAACGAAGAAGCCTATTGAATTTGAAGCCCTTGTTTCAATTTGGTGAACCCTGTGAACGCTCTAACTACAAAAGTTATCACCCGATCTGTATTAAATTTACATGCATTATTTAGATTAGTAAAATGAAGAAGCCTATGGAATTTACGTTGATAACTTCTAGAGCTATAGCCCTTGTTTCATTTTGGCGAACCTTGTGAACTCTCTAACAACTAAATTTATCATCCGATATGTATGAAATTTAAAGATACATTATGGGGGATAAGATTACGAGTTGGCAGTTCTCACTATAATAGTTAAAAACTACATAATGTAAAGGCAACTTGCTGAAAATTTCAGTCAAATTGATCTACTATGAACCGAGAACTAAGCGGATGAAAGTTCCGCTTAGCCTCGATCATCATTACTGAAGTCGATAAGACAAAACTAATAGTCTTGATTATCCACTTAATTGTTAATCACGAAGGTCAGTTTTGCAGCAAATCGGACTGTAATCCAACAAATATCGCAGGCAAGCCTTGACATCGAGAGCTGATTATGGTCTGGATAAGTAAGAAATGTCTAATTAATAGTTTTTATAACATTTCAGGCCTAAAGAAAGACCTACAATAGGCCGATTTTGCTCTTGCATAATGTATGTTTAAATGTATTATTTAAATCACTAAAACGAAAAAGTATTGAATTTCAACAATCTTCAACAATCTCCGTTAATAACTTCTAGAGTTATGGCCCTTGTTTCACTTTGTCGAACCTTGTGAACTCTCTATCGAAAAAAGTTATCCTCTGATATGTATGAAATTTATATGCATTATTTAGATCACTAAAACGAAGAAGTCTATTGAATTCTTGTGAACATTTGATATAAGTGTTTTGCCTGGCAACCTATCTTTGCATAGCCTTATGCTCATATAGATCCGTCTATTGATTTGAATTTGAAAAAAAAATCTGAATTTTAAACAAATAACAAAAAAAGTTCATTTTGGGGAAAAAAATTCGTTTAAAAGGTTAAAAAAAAATTTGATCTGAAAATAAATCCCGAACTTCACGAACTCTTCTCTTTTTTTTTGAGATCAGGTTGATAGGCTATAACTGTGTTAGTTCTGATAGGCTATTCCTTCACATGTCAACATTTAAACATGCATTATGCAAGAGCTAAATCTGCCTATTGCAGGTCTTTCTTTAGGCCTGAGATGTTATATAAACTATTAATTAGACATTAATTAACGTATCCAGAACATAATCAACTCTCGATGTCAGCGCTATCCTGCGATAATTGTTGGATTATGATCCGATTTCCTGCATAGATTTAACGATTAAATGGATAATCGAGACTATGATTTTTATCGTACCTACTTTAGTAATGATGACCGAGGCTATGCGGAACTTTCGATCGCATATTTTTTGGTTCATAGTGGATCAATTTGACTGAAATTTTCAGCAAATTGCCTTTACATTATCTAGTTTTTAACTATTATAGTGAGAACTGCCAACTCGTTATCTAATCTCCCATAATGTACCTTTAATTTGTATATTCTGAGAGCGGTGAGAACTGAAACTTCTGTTTTAAAACACTATTATAGAGCAAGGCCTGTACTATAGATATTTTAAGGCACAACTGCACTCTAACATATAGCCGTTAAACGTCAAAATGTTCTATAAATATTTTATAGTGCAACTACCCTTTTATATGCACCCGTTTCGACGCAAATGAAATGAACTGAAATAAGGGTTTAACGTTCAACTATTCTGCACCAACTGGGATAATGAAGACGGGCTTAGACAGTACAGTGTGTTATGGGGGAAATTTTGCTGGCACAGCGGTACTAAGGCCTACTCTTATATAGAATTCCACAGGTCTAGAATTCCAAACGCCAATGTGCATACGGAATCTCGGATTTTTGTCCCATCCGAACGACTATACGTTGTCCAGTTTCAGACCCTACGTTTCGCACCACTGACAAGGAGAAAACAAACCGGAAAATCCCGATAAACTCTCTTGGTCAATACAGGGTTCAAATACGGGACCTCGAGGTCAGCGAGCCAACGTCTTTCTCACTGATTCACCTTGGCGTCCTATGCATTATGATTTGACAGATGGTAGTTAAGAAATGTCAAAGTGTTCTATTAATATTTTATAGTGCAACTATTCTTTAATGTGCACCCGTTACGGCGCATTATGACATAACACTTATAAGACAACAAACGTCATAGTAGTGTCCTATATGCATGTTATCAGAAGGTATTTTTAATGAATTTTGAACTTACTAAACTTACTGCTTGGGATTTTTAGATTAGTCATGAAGAGAAAATCTGACTAAATTTACAGCCTAATTGTGAACGCCGATTGTTTTTTTCTTTTAAATTGTTAAAGAGACATTACTACTACAAAGAAATCAAATTACGAGAGTATCATCGTCGAAACGTAGCATGTTAATAAACCAGTAATTGTTATTCCATAAATAGTGTTGGTGTGTTACTTTTCAATTACTAAATGTTAATAGTGTTAGTGTGTTACTGTTCAATTACTAAATGTTAATAGTGTTGGTGTGTTAATGTTCAATTAATAAATGTCACTTAAAGAAGTAGATATTTCCAATAAAAATATGAATAAAATGTAAAGACCAGAAAACCCGAAAACTGCACACTGAATAAGTCATCGGCCCGCAGTCCTGCACCAGTGTCAATTCTAAACCACCCTGAAAAATCCCGAGAAATTTTACCGGCCTCCTGGTTAGCGAGACCAGGCTTTGTTGCTCCTGCAACTAACGGATCTGATCAATTAAAAATAACCCCATGCTATTTTCCTCTCGTCGCCAAATTGCGATTAAAGAGCTAATGACAAAAGTTCGAAAACTTGAGTGTTCAATCGCACACTCTTTATTAAAGATAATCTGAAGTGACAATCTAAGTTGGCCTTGACGCACCTCTTGTTTATCGATAAGAGAATTCCTGGGCGTTATATAAGCTAGGATCTGTAGACGGAACATTTATTGTGTCAGTTCGACAAAGAATGTTAAGTCTGTTCGTGTTGGTATCATTGTTGGTCTGGCAAGGTAAGGGCTAATTTTTACCAAACATGAATGCCAGTATTCTGCGATTATAATGGTGATGGCGAAACTAGTGCCAAAACCTCCTAAAACCGTTGTAGTTTTTCCAACACACTTTCCATTCAAAAAATTAATAGTACATTCGGCGTATATTGTACTTTATATCGTCTGTCTTACTAGTTTAAATGATTGGATGCTTTAAAATTATAAAGACTTTCATCTTGTCTTTGTGGCAACTGGACGATTGACCTTCTTGTTCTTTTCTGACTGAATATATAATTATTAATTGGGCAGTACATCGATGAATGTATAGAAAGTACCTTCCACCTCTTCTTTTCTAACTTTCGATAACACACCAAACTTGTTTTACAGCCCAGGGCTCACAGTATAGCGACCCACATTGTGCTGGTGGTCGTTCTGCTATAACACATTTGTTTGAGTGGAAATGGTCAGACATCGCCCAGGAATGTGAACGCTTTCTTGGACCTTATGGTTACTGTGGTGTTCAGGTAAGAAAGGATGACACAAATATGTAAATGCATCCAAAGGTAAGCAACAACCCAGAACATTTAATCAAACTAAGCGGTTTAACAAGCAACGATTTCGAGTTTTACAACATCTTGATAAGATGTACGGAGTTAAAGCGAGATCGAGCCTTCTCATGACGATGGCATCACAAGAGCTAGCACCACACTATGTTCCTGGAGCAAGGATCTCGAGTTTTAAAACATCCTGATAAGATGCACGGGGTTAAAGCGTTTGTTTGCGACCGAAAGCAGCCATTCACCACAACTTGACGAAACTCGCTGGAACCCACGAGGTTTTTCACGAGTTGAACTTTTAAAACACGCTTTTATCTTTAATCAAAATCAAATACTGAAATATCGGAAACTCAAAGATAACCGAGATTTTAAGTATGTCGAGGTTTGAAATCTGGATTATTCACATTTGCTTTATAATATTACGATTGTATTTACCATTGATGTGCGGCTTTACAGCCTATTCGGTTTTCAACGGGTCCTCCAGTTTCCTAACACTACTAAGCAAATTATTAAAACAATTTAAGCATATGTCTCGAAATCACCTAGTCTATGTCGAGCGGACGTTAAAACCCATTCCAGTAAATTAAAGTGCAACATAATCCGCAAGCCTGACAATATCGGAATCTAAAATTTATAAAGTGTATATTCTGACTTAATAGGAGACATTGCTTATCAGTCATTCCACGCATCTGTAAACGAACCCAAAGCAATGCACAATTATCACCGCAGGATAGTGTCTTCTACAAAGTTGACAAGTGATAGAAATGCATGTATCCTTAATCGAGAGTTCTAGGATTAATTTTCCTGTTTCCGCATCATTTTCAGATTTCTCCCCCTAATGAGAACCGTGTGGTTACCAATCCTAACCGACCGTGGTGGGAAAGATACCAACCAGTTAGTTATAAACTTGTTACTAGAAGTGGTAATGAGGATCAACTGAAAGACATGATACAGAGATGTAACAAAGCTGGTGTAAGGTACGACCCCTATTTATTCCCAATCGTTTGAGGTTAAATGTTACTTTAAATCAGTTTATAGATTATGACAACCGCTCATCACCAATTGACCACCCATGCCAAAGCTGATGTAAGGTACGACCCCTGTTTATTCCCATTCTTGTGAATTTAGGTTTACTTTAAACCAGTTTATAGTTAAATAGCATCAGAATTTGAAACCTGTCATTCCAGAACGTGACAAGCGCCCATCACCAACTTGGCCACCCTTTAGGCTTAAGTATGTATTATTCATCTAACACTTTGGATTGTTTTGACCATTTCAGAATATATGCTGATGCCGTTGTCAATCACATGACCGGAGCTGGCGGTACTGGTTACGGCACCGGAGGGTCCTCATATGACGCAAACAGCCTAAATTTCCCAGGAGTTCCATTTGGTGGTAATGATTTCAATGGAGGGAACGAATGTCACAGCAGCGACGGTAGCATCCATAATTACAATAACGCTGAAGAGGTCAGAAACTGTCGTCTCGTTGGCCTGACAGATTTAAAGTTATCTTCTGATTATGTCCGAGGAAAGGTTGCCGGGTATTTCAATCATTTAATTGATCTTGGTATCGCTGGTTTCAGGGTTGACGCTGCTAAACATATGTGGCCAGGAGACATCGCAGCTGTCTTGTCGAAAACTAAAAACTTAAGATCTGACATATTTGGAGGTGGCAAAAGGGCGTTTGTTTACCAAGAGGTAATTGATATGGGGGGTAATGAGCCTATCAAAGGTGGTCAGTATGTTGGAGATGGGCGGGTAACAAATTTCATTTTTGGAGCTAAACTTGCTGAAATATTCAGGAAAAAGAATGCTATGAAGTATTTAAAGACCTGGGGTGAAGGTTGGGGAATGATGAGATCAAATGATGTTGTGAATTTCATTGATAATCATGACAACCAGAGAGGTCACGGGGGTGCTGGAGCAGTCCTCACTCATTGGGAACCCAGGCCCTACAAAGTAGCAACCGCCTTTATGCTGGCCCACCCTTACGGATTCCCAAGAATTATGAGTAGCTACGAATACAACCGCGCCGATAATACGGAGGGTCCTCCCCATAACGGAGACATGAGTATTAAAGATGTTGCAATCAAAAGCGACATGTCATGTGGAAACGGCTGGTCCTGCGAACATAGATGGCGTCAGATTTACAATATGGTGGCCTTCAGAAACAAAGCTGGTGGAGATGGTTTAAGTAATTGGTGGTCTGGTGGTGATTATCAAATAGCATTCTCTCGTGGTAACAAGGCTTTTATTGCTATGAATCTAGATGGATTTGATATTAATGCTAATCTGAACACTGGTCTACCCAGTGGTACTTATTGTGATGTTATTTCTGGTAATCTTGAAAACGGGCGATGTACCGGAAAGACGATCCAGGTCGGTGGAGATAGTAAAGCTCATATTAATGTTGGTCACAGTTGGGAAGATCCCATGATTGCCATCCATATCGGTAAGTTGTTTTATTTTACATGTGTGAATGTCACTGCCGTGATCGAAAGTGTGGATTAACGATTCATGAAAAATATATCTTACATTGCCATATTAATGAAACTGTTGATTGAGGAAAAATGGTCGTCAATGTTGAAGGTGCTTGTTTATATTGTAATATCACATTACGTTTGCAAACTTGAAGTCTTTCAACTTGAAATGTTTTGCAGATAATGAGCTCAATTTATGCATGAATTGTCTTTGCAGGTGCCCGTCAAGGTTCTTCCCCTTCAAGAGTGGGTTAAATATACACCACTATAATTATCATGGTAGCAGGCTGGGACGCCATTTCGTAAACTTTTCATTTTTTACCATCGAATAAAACTTCAACAAAACTTCATAGTGTTTGAGTACGGAGAATTCGGACAAACGGCTCTCTACTGGAATGGTTGGTCGATAGAGAGAGCAAACGCTTTGGTCTTGTTGCCCAATAAATCGCTTAAATGTGGATCTAAAATCACCGATTTTATGAAAAATATCCCATCTTAGATTACACCACCTTCGTAATAATCCAATACTATCCATTCAAATCATGTCTAAACTCAATATTATTTTGCTTTAGACCAGGAGTTCTTTAACATAGTGTTATGAAACTGTTGGTGCAGGGGAGTCACAGTGTCTTACTATTCTTGGGGATCCTGTGTTCGATCACTGTGCCATCATTGGATGTCAGTTTTCTTATGTGGAGAATAAGTCAGGCCAACCCGCGTACTCCTTGCAGTGCACGTTAAAGAAGCCATGCAGTTCGAATTCGATGAAGATGGGCAACCATGGGTATAGGAACGATGACCAGTTTTGGGTACCCAAAGGGTAATATATTTCATCAAATCTTGTGCCTAGCGCATCGGGACTAAACAAGTGGACTTGTTTAAAGAAGATATTGTTAAGTAAGAGACTGTAATACTAATTTTTCAATGGGCATTAAGGTATATAAAGTAGTAGGATTCACTTTTGTTTTATTCAGCATTGTGGAATCTTATATACCACAGTTTCAACCTGTGTCTAGACCAGGTGAAGTTGAACATGGTCATGTTTCAGTGAGGCAAGATACATAGCCAACTCTCAATACAAATTAATACTGACACCAGGGTTCAAGTCTGGGGGTGGGGGGAGGTCGGTACATCGTTCCGGGGACCATAAAGCCCCCATAAATATCTTTGTTTACGTCGGACATGGTCGGTATTCGTGCCCCAGAGCCCCCGATCCGATCCCCTATGCCCTACTCTAGCTATGCAGGGGTTAAGTTAGACACCCAAATTTTGCATAGTCTTTGCACAGGTGTGGGAGGATGGCCCAAAATTTGTCTTCTTGTGGCACATTAAAATTATCTTTTATACCCCTAAGGTTTGGGATGAGCGATTTATTAATTATTTGATTGGTTAAATTTAACCAACCAAAGTACAAAGTCGCCTTTATGGAGATGGGCGTGCACATTTTCTTGAAACATAGCTGGGATCATTTCCTAATTTGGTTAGCTATATATATTGCGTCACTATCGGTTTATACCACCGTTTAGTTTCATAAACAAGAGAGGATATGGTGTGTTTTTGATAAACAAAAAGGAAACGGCAGTACTAGCACACTATTTTGCCTGATTACACTATTTTGCCTATACCGTTTTTTTAGGACTTCAATTTTGTCTAATGGTTTGGATTGTTCGTACTTGGTTTTATTTTATTGTTAACCGAGGGCTTATTTTAATATATAAATATATCATCCATTTCCGCAGCAATACATGATATCTATCAATTAAAAGAGGACAAATTTGATTTGATTGGAGACAGCGCGAAGTTTTTGATACAATTACTATCCTTTCTTTTCACATAAAACTTCTTAAGAAAGTGGACATATCTCAATCAGGGATCGATTTCAGAAGTTCATTGTCAATAAATTTTCTTTTTTGTTGTTTTATTTAACATAAAATAGTAATAAACGATGAGAAAAACTTATTGATTTGGTTGACCTGAAAATACAATGGCAACCAAAGTTAAGCGGGCATATTGTGGGGGACTGCACGTTAAAAAAATAATCAACATGATCGTATTATTGTGAACATTCACCAAGGACCCCATTTAAAGACATAAATCGGATTTCTTCTCCTGGATTTTACCTTCAGTATAACATCACCCGTCTTCATTATCCCGGTCGGAACAGAATAGTAGGACGTTAAACCCCATTTCATTTCATTCCGTATAACACCAGAGTCGTTTATCCCTCACTTTTATTGACTGAAAATCATATAATCCATAATAATATGATCTGTTAGTCGCAAATCGTTGGTTTGTTAAGCAAAAGAACATAAAATTATATAAATTTTATTTTTGGCATTTTCCTTATTCACGATTCGCAGAACAAAAAATAATTGAAGAATAATTTTCCTGTTGACATGGTTGATCGTATCATTGGATATTTTAATATCCTTTAAAAAGGACATGGATCTTATTATCATTGGAAATACGCTATTTTTTTAAATGGGGTGTAACGTCCTACTTTTCTGCTCAGATTGGGCTAATGTTAACACGGACATACGCCATACAGTTTGCTATGAGGGAAATTTTGCCCGGAGAGTGGTACTGGGGCAGCACGTTAAAGATTCCCTGTTAGTTGGAAATCGAAATAAAAGTAGAGCGTAGCTCTGGTGTTAGGGCAAAATTTCCCCTCATAGCACACTGTATCACGTTTCCCCTTTTTTATTAACCCGGTTGGTTTATACGTTAAACCTAGTTTCATTTATTAACTCGGTGGGTTGGATGGCCGAATGGTTAGCACGCGCGTGCTGTATCATACGGCCTGTCATTGAGTCAACTGGCGTGGTTTCGAATCCCTGGTTGTACGTGACAGGGAGTAGGGTCGCCTGTCCAACCTCGTGGGTTTTCTCCGGGTCCTCCGGTTTCCTCTCACTGCTAAAGACCCCTACGCGCAAGCGAATTAATGAAATAAAATTAAACCATATGTTAGTCCCGAAATGACCTAGTTTGTGTCGAGTGGACGTTAAACCCCATCTCTGTCTCTCATTTATTAACATAATTTATTGTTATATTAGGGATTTATGTCCACTTCCATCTCGTTTTCCTTTTATAACGCCCTGCTGTACAATAATTTACTTCCTCACTGCGAGAAGTAGTCGGATAATTTAATATAGCAGTCCTATTTAAGATGACATCATTTTGTTAACTCAACAAGCAGTGAAGGTAGGCTTAAGTTTATATTTACATAAGAATTTTTTCTAAATTAATAGCCATTTACGATCAAATTTGTTTATGAAAACATTTTCCCTTTGTTTCTCCTTGAAAAATATGACAAATTTTATGATTGCCCCTGGAGGCTGCGTTTTTTTTCTTCCGATTTTACATATATAGCTAGTAGGCTGGTTGGAGAAGGTGACAAATCCAGCTTTGTGGGAAAAAATTCCTACCCAAATGATTTCTTCATTTTCTGAAACAACTATTTCCCTAGTGTTCCAGAAAAATTTTCCCCGCGGATCGGAGTTGAGCAAAATTTTTTACAGCACTTTGAACTTTTCACCCCCTGGGTCAACATAATGAAAATGAAAACCATTTATAACTTCAAAAATATCAATTTTACAGCCTAGAAATGTATTATCAACATAAAGGAAAGTGATACCAAGGAATCCAGAAATGACGTCAAAAGTAACGTACGACCAAAGCCGTATAATATTATAGATAAAGTTGCGACAATTGTGAAGCCAGAAATTTCATATGACGTCATGAAAATATGACCTCAAGTGTAGTTAGACGCCATCTTGGGTCCCAAGTATTTGTACCTACTATCTATTTTATTGTTGTGTCGAAGTTGGCTTCCCCCGACAAGTATGTATATAGATATGTCAGAATATCTTTTTTAAACGAAAAGTATAGCTAAACAAACTATTATTATTATTATTATACAGAAAGCGCACATTATTGTTATAAGAATAGTCTAATTCATAAGAAAGTGAAATAAAAGATACACCAAATAAAAGCGCAATTAAATTGCATACGCTTTTAAAAATCAGATTTTTTGTGCAGACGGGTAAAGTGAAAAATGAAAATTTAAATAATAATTTGGGAGATACAACCTTTTTGCCTTCTAGCCGGCAAAAAAAATGCCTGAAATTCCATGATTTTTGGTCTGGAGTCATTCCGGATTGTGTGTCAGTTTTCAGTCATCAATCATTAATTGTATCATCAATTTTTCGAAAATAGAAATTTCTTTAAATTGACTAATGGATAAAACATTTAAAATCAGTGTAACTTAAAATCAGTGTAAAATCAGTGTAAAATCAGTGTAATTCAAATAAAAGGTGTCTAGCGTGACATGTGTTTCGGGCATATGTTTCATCAGTGAAATTTGATACGAGATATCGCTCTCCGAAACTTTCTGGTTTCTTTTGCAATTTGTTTGGGGTAAGACGTTATCACTCCCCGCCCATGGGTAAATAATAATAATAATCTAATATATAAACCGCAAAAATTTAACAGATACATATTATGTACATGTTATTCCACAGGTAGACAGATATTTAAGGGGCCCAGTGAAGGACTCTTTTGGCTATTTGCGCCCCATTTCCAATGAAATAATCATGTTGTTCTGATGCTCAACTAGTATCAAATATATATCGTGTCTGAGATTTGTTACAAATCGCCTCGAACATGTTCCACACATCTCAATTTTTATCAGCTTTTTTTTTCAATCTATAAAAGCCTATATACATTCCTACAAAATTTTGTGTTTAGTTGTTTAGTCAAGTGAAACAAGAAAACGCATAGGCTAAATGAAACAATAGAACAAGTATACCTTTATAATGTCGACAAATATGTAAAACTATGAAATAAGATACTTCTAAGATATGATTCAACCGAAAAGTCCTATATATGCAACATAGATATATAATATCTACATTCAAGTTAAACGAACTGCATCCAATCATTTTAAATACCGGTATAGCGTCGAGCTGAATAAAGGATATGATTTATTGTCATTAAAGGATCTATGGGTGGTTGGTAAACAATGTGTAACTAAAAACTATGATATTATCTTTATTGCCATTATTTCAATGTACCTAAAATGAATTATCGCTGCCCTTTTATTACCAAATTAATGTTGTTTTTTTCATTTTAATTTTTATTTTTTAAAATGATATTCTTTTACCAAATTTGGCAGTCATATTGAAAGAAATGCCCGCCACCAAATGACAAATACATTTTTTTTATTGATGTTTGTCAAATTCGATTTTTCCACACATTTCGCTTGCATAACCACTCGCCGAAAATTCCTGAAGAACACCAAATTGAATTCTGTTAATCATGTCATTTTGGCCGAATTTGAG